AAAAATATGTTATTCTACTAAAAAAAAAAACGATGACGTCATGTACACGAAAGTGGTGACGTCATTACTACATCCAATTGCAGTGTAAGACGCGCAGTTGAAAATAAAAATTGACCCGTGAAGGCATTTTGTTAAAATACTGTTAAATAGAAAAATATTGAATTTATTCCAATTTAAACGTTCTCACTGTATAGAGCCAATAGACAGCAACATTTACATGACCAGAGATTAGGGATATAAAAATAGGAAACGCAACGACCGCCATAGCGATAACGTCATCTATGCATCTCAGATGTTATCTAAAGGTACACGTCTCCGAGCAATTACTACTAGAGGGAGTCTTCCCCCCTTCCCCGCGCTAAATTTTGTTAGCAACATCTACTCCCCCCGAGGGGGAAAATACCTCTTCTGCAATTGGCTTATTTAATCAGCGTTGCCAAGTTTGACAGCGCCAGAAGTGTTCTGTGAGCGCCAGTTCTGACACTTTCTGACACATGTCAATTTCTTATTTGTATTTTACGGAAAATATTATTATTTATAACGTTGTAAGGGTTGTAAATGTATATTTAAGATTTATTATCTCTAATAATATGGTAAAAACATGCGTTACGTATAAAAGGCCTGTTGAAAATGATTCTTCAAGATAATATCATAAGTAAGTACAGACAACCTAATTATCAGAGGCGGTGCATTAGGCAATCACCTTTAATTTGCAATTAAACTTTCTTATTTGCTTATCGAAAAATTAAAATTAAGAGCAAGTAAACTAGAGCTAAGTTCGTCTTCATCCGTCTGTCTCATAATGATTATAGTAAAGGTTAATTACTTATTATTTTAATATCACATCTTTGTAAAGTTTATTGTTATTTTTTTAGGTTTCCTTTTCTTGATATGAGAAAGAAATACATGGTTCCAAAATATAGGAATTCAACAAGTGACCACCTGAATAACTTTTTATGCAAATGAACATTTTTATTATAGACCTCAGGGGAGGAAAATATTAAAGAAAAATGCAATTTCGACGAAAGAAGTATAAATAATCAATCCTGTCACTACTTCTACACTATATTCATCTGCTACTAAAATACTAAAACAGCAAGTAAGTTTATTTCAAAAAGAATGTTTAAGGAAAAAGGCATAGCCATTTTTTTGTTGACATTTTTTTTTAAATAATCTAAAAGGCTAATTTTGTGTATTGTTTAAATTTTCATATTTTGTACTTAATTTTTTTTTAAGTTTAAACAAAATGAACTTCTAAGATATGCATGGAATATCCCAAAAGAGCTAAGGAAGGTTTTAAAATTCTTAAGAAAACTATTCAGAGCCAAAAACATAACATAGTCTTCCTGTCCAAAATATAAATAGGTATAAATATTTAGATATTATGAGTGATTTTTTATTCTATAAATAGAACATAATTTGCTTCTAAATCACTACCTATAATGAACTATATTATATAGTACAATACTAAACAAGAATATCACATTATTCATGTTTTTTTTAATTTCCTTAAAAAACGTCCCAAAAAAATGTGAATATTTATTATTGGAGTTTACATCGTTATGCTAAAACAATATTAGAACAACTTAAATAATGTGGATTTTGACTATTTTGAGTTATGCAGATCATTATGATCTAAAAAAATGTTTGTCTGGTACTATAGTCAGGTATAAAAACATTCATTTATTTAAACACAGTTGCAATATACATTTTATTTAGTTTTTAAGTTAAAACCTATTAGGACATCCTAAAATGACTTTTTTCGTTTGATATGAGATTAATTATTCTACATTTTTGTTGGTGAAATAGGATATATTAAGATGTCTTACTGTTTTCTCTGATTATCTTAAAAGTTAGAACAATATACAAAGACTGTTATAACAAAAAAGAGATATACCTTTACTTAAACACAAAATTAGTCAGTTGAATTGTACAATAATTTTAAGCATAAATTCAGAAAACTTTAAAAATGTGTTTTTACTATAACAAGGACATAATTATTAAAAAAAACTTGGCACATTAACGTTGACGATAGGTTTTTATAATATATATTATAGAAATCACAACGAACTACACAAAACGACATTATTAATAATTTAGCAATAAAAAAGTTAAGTACAATGATGACATTAAAAGTTGAGTTTCTCGAAACACTTTTTTTAAATTGTCTCAGTACCTACCTAGTATTTTTCTAGCACAATGATATTATATGAATGTGCATTGTGTGATATCTTATATTTTAGGAATAAAATGATATATTTTTTGCAGGTTTCTGTTAACAACGATTCCAAGAACTTTTGAATATATTATTAAAACGGCCTTTGCAAATATAATTCTTAATTAAGAGGTTTTGATCTAACATTAAATTTTTGTTCTCCATTAGGTTACAGCTTCCTAAGAAGAAAATTTAACAAGACTTACCAGACTCAAAATATCAAAATTTTACCAATCAATTGATGGTTCTACTAGTTTCCATGGGAAAATTCTCCTCGAAACTACTAAAAGAAAAGTGGCAGAGGCAACCGATGAAGGCAAAAAAGTCTTTTGCAAAACAAAAACTAGAAATTTGTTTAAGAATCTAATTATTGTTTGAAGTTTTACCATTAATAATTTTTGATAACGATTTAAGATTATGAAGTTTTATTATGTATTTTACTCTTTGATAACCTATGTTTAAATTTTTATTAGGACCAAAATAAATTATAATTTTCATTTCAACTACAAAAACCCTCATAATATTAAAAAGAGGAAAAAACGTTAGATTAGTTATGTTCAGGAATAAACTCTTTAAACATATATCTACTTAAAATGTGTTACTTTTAGAAGGTATGTTATTAACTTTCCATTTGTACTTGTATTAATTTATTTCATTTCATTATCTGTTGTATTTTCAAATTGATTTTGATATTAATCTTATCTTTTTATATATTTCTTATATTCCCATATATGTTTTTTTTCATTGAAATAAACGTTTATTAGCTTATTAAATATAATGAATTCATATTGTTTTATTATATGCTTGTATGAATGATTACTTTTATTTCCTTTTAAAAATGAATTTCGAAGATAAAGCCGAAACGGTGCCGGTGAGAGAGAATAAAAAATTAGACGAAAGTGACGATATTTACTGGAGCTTTCATCTACACCTGAGCCAGCAAGATTCGTCTTCCCTTCATCCTTACATTCTCCAGATTTACAGAGAAAACGCTGTCCTCTTTAACATATCTAGACCTTCTTTGACGGGGACTATACCACTACATTATCAGCTTTATTTGTTATCCCGAGCAATTTAAATGCATTCGTAATTGCTCATTCTCATCTCTTGTAGATTCCGTACTCAGTTTTCTTATTTTTAGTTACGTTTGCACTGCTCTTTTATTTTCACAGCTTTAATTCTATTATGCTGTAACGCTATAATATGGATCCATTTTTGTGGTTTATACTATTTAATGTTATTCGTAAGTGACCAACCTATTATAATAATTAAAGATTATTGTATACAGGCCTGAAGATGTTTCTGTAAGGCCGAAACTAGTCGCTACTGTATTTATTTATAATAAAATTGATTTTAAGGTTTTATTCTTCAATTTTTATGATGGTGGGTGAGGTTTTCCGGGTTTTCCTCACCTGTAAGTCAAATGGCACCATCAATCATCTTTAAGTCGCCCCGGAGCGCCACGGCAAATAATAATAATAATAGCCGTCCCTTTCCCCGGACAAGCTCAGCTTTTGGGGTTAAAATTCACTCGTAAGGGGGTGAATTAGGGAGAGTATTATTATTATTATATTATTATTATTAATTGAAAAAGTTAGACCGTTACAGTGATTTTGTTTCATTTCCTGCATTAGACGGTATTCATTTTAAAAATAGTAAAATTAGCAAATTTTTTTGTTTTTTTTTACAATTAAAACTTTTGGACAATGTGTGTTTTTATAGATAAATGATACGCCACTGAACAAGAAGGATGTTTACCTTCCCCCTTGTGTCCGCTTCCTCACTTCCTCTACAGATGTTGCTAACACAACAATCGCCTACAAACTCGTTTTCACGCTCCCTCTATTAGTAATTGCTCGGAGGTACACGTCGTTTGTAGACAGACCTTAGAACATATATATTCTAAGAAACAGACAGTAGACGTGGACAGTTTGTAAATATAAATGTCAGTTAGTTGTATGTATATCGTAAAATCCTAAATTTGAATTTTAAATTTTGAGTTCATGAATGTGTCTAGATGAACTAAGCGAAATGGTTGTGGTGAAATTCAAGGACAATAAATATATTTTGTAATATTACAATAAGTCGATGAACGTATTGCATTAGTAACACATGTCACATGAATAAATGTTACAACCCCAATGTGGCATTCTTTAATTAACCAAAGTAATATGTAGTCATGTAAGTAACACAAATAGTAGCCAACTTTTGTCACAACGTAGGTATTTATTTATTATTTGTTTTAGAACAAGAAAATGGCTTCAAAACGTTAGAAAGATTTGATATAGGAAGAAAAATATCTGAATTCCCATTACTGAGTTTGTACTCAACATTTTTAAATAAGACACCATTGGCCAATAAGAGCAAAAATCTTAATGTTACAAATAACGATCAAAAATTAAAAAAAATATTTGTCATGAATAGATTTACAATAATTAATCGATAATAGACTATAAATGTAGTGTTCTTTTTAATAAATAATTTAGCGTATTTACATTGTTTAAATTTATTTAACAGAACGTGAAAGTGCATTAGATATTTATACAATCTTTATTATAAGGTTTTTAAATTTCCCGCTGCATTATTTGTTTGATATCGATGAAAGCGCCACATAGTGAGTCATATGTTAACTGCGTTGAAGCCGGTCGTTGTTAAGCAATGGCTTCTTATGAGCGTTTCCTACAAATACATAAATGTCTTTGGTTTCCTATTTTTATCTCCCTTATCTCTGCACATGATGTTATCATGCGGTTACGTGACGTTGACGTTCCCTATAGAGCGAATTGACCTTTAATTTGACACGCACGCGCCTGATTTTCAAAATGAATATCAAGTTACAAGGATAAATAATTTTGTCCTGTCAAAAAATAAATGTCATTTTCCCCAAATTTCTGTAATTTAAATCCATGTCGAGCAATACCAAAAGGGTGGAAAGAAAATTTAAGTAGGTGTATGTGCGCGAACGACTCGCCTGAATGGATATTTTTGGAAAATCAAAGGTAAAGAAAAAACCTGCTTAATTAACACATGGCGACTCGTTTGAGTCCACGAAATTCTGAAGTAAATGCTCTGGAACAAAGGGGATATTTAATTGGAAAGAAAATTGGTCAAGGATCCTACGCTACCGTACATTTAGCCGATTATGTTGATAGCACGGGTCCAAAGAAAATGCGCCTTGCTTGTAAAATCTTTGATAAAGAAAAAGCACCTAAAGATTTTTTAGAGAAATTTTTTCCGAGAGAACTAGAAATACTAACAAAAATCGAAAACCCGCATATCATACAAGTTCACAGTATTCTACAAAGGGGGCCTAGAGTTTTCATTTTTATGAGGTAACTTGATTTAAATATTTCTGTGCTTCAGAGATAAATTAGACTGTCCAATTTTTAATCTTTCGAATCTAGTTGCAAGAATTTACACTCACCAGCGAATTTTTTTTTTTTTTAAATTTAATTTATTTTCTGGTAGTTATTCTTAAATTAATGTATTGCTTGCGTTATAAAAGCAATATCGTTAGTGCTATTTTAATTTCTAAATGAAGCACTTCTCCGGCCTATTCATTTTTGAAATCAATTTATGTCATGCCAAAACTTCGCATGGTGTAGTTTATCTCCGAATTACACGCTTACCAAACAAACATCCCATTTTCAGTAACTTTTTTTAAGGTACGCCGATAATGGTGACCTTTTGGATTTTATAAAGAAAAATGGGGTCGTACCTGAACAGCAAGCAAAAATATGGTTTAGACAAATGGCAAGTGGACTTCATTATCTACACGGAAAAAACATAGCGCATAGAGATCTAAAGTGTGAAAATATTTTACTTTCTAGAAGATTTAACGTTAAATTAGCAGATTTTGGTTTTGCAAGATTCTGCGTCGATTCTGATAACAGACGAATTCTAAGTCAAACTTATTGTGGTTCTGCAGCTTACGCAGCGCCGGAAGTGGTTAATGGAACGCCTTACAATCCAAAACTATCAGATGTTTGGTCTTTGGGTATAATTCTATTCATAATGTTAAACGCGTCAATGCCGTTCGATGATTCAAATTTAAGAAAACTATTAAAGGATCAAATGACGAAAAATTGGGTGTTTAGATCAAGAGTGAGAGATACACTATCATCGATAGCTAAATCACTCGTCAGGCATCTTCTAGAACCAGACTTAACTCAAAGATTGACTTTAGATAGAGTTATCCAACACGAATGGCTTAGAATGCGTAAAGATAGACCATCACTCATTGGTCGTTTAGTACATTCGGCACCACATGGTCAAACAGGTAGTCAGTCCGCACATGTAAGTGGGGAATATGAGAATGAAACCGTCCCTGGGGACTTTCAAAATCCCGATAATAAGAAAAGTGAAATGATGATTTCCGTAAACGACAATTAGTAGGGAGAATACTATTGTTAAAAATTCAAAGTTGAAATTATCAGTAGTGTAAATATAATAAAACAGGATAAATCTTTTTATATTTTTATTTCAATAACTTCTTGCGAAAGAATATTTTTGTGATAGCTTTCATTGTTCATTATGGTGTAATGGGGTTCTACTACAATACGACCTAGAAGATTTATTGTGCCCCCTTCTGTCGTTAATGCAACAAGTAAATATCTTAACGCTTATAACGACCGTTCCTGTCCTATCTTCTCAGGAAAGTGTAGGATTTAGAGTGGCTTCAAGTAAGGCAAATCTCCCTCTTCTATTTGATTGCTTCTAGGTATAGTGCTGTTGGATTCTCTAGTGCTACACATTCAGTCAGAATGTGATTGGAGGTTTCGTCCTTCTCCTCCTGCTCACAGAATCTGCACTCACTATCTTCTACTACTCTCAGTTTACGAAGGTGTCCTTTGAATCGGCAATACCCAGAAAGGATTCCTGTTACAATACATAGTCTGTTCTTGCTCAGGCAGATGCAAGCTTCCGATCTTTTCTGATTATATTCACCCAGAAGTATCTTAGCCTGTCTTAACCTCAAGAGATTGTACCAATTATCGGTTCCTCTACTGCCTAATTCTTTTTTATTCTCTCCTAATATTGTGTTCCTGCTGATACCGCAGAATGACTCAGGGGATTTATTCTTTAACCAGCGTTTTTGAAAGCACTCAGAGCGTCTCTAGAAACGCGACAAACAGCTAACAAAAGTATCAAGCACAAACGTTTTGGTATTTAAAAAAAGTAAAGCAAGTTCAAAAAAGTTACACATCCTGTTTATTCTTCAAGTTTTGACATTTAAGGCTAAACTTTTCCGACGTAGATAAGTCAAACATTAAAATATGGACCTAAATATTCTACATTCTACACTACACACTACTAATAAAATAAAAATCAGAAAAAAGGGAAAATCAAAAAATAAATAAATAAAATAAAAATTAAAAAATTAAACTATATTCGTCTCCCACATTTTTATAAATATTGACGGCACCAGAAGATGGAAAAATGTTTTTTCCGAAACATATATCAGCACCTTAGAGGTAAGGTGTGAAGTCACATTTTTTAGACAAAATAGTTTTCTCCACGTACTAAATTTTATTTGGTGAGAAACAGATTTAAATCCCTAGCTGCATCATATCGCCAAAATATGACGGATCACTCGGTAAGTCACAAAAAAGTCAAAATTTTAGGACAAAGTAAAAAAACCTAACAAAAAAGAAATAAATTGACCAAACAATTGACTTTTGCAAAGCCCCCAATATTTAGTAAATCCACGGTTCCTTTACATTTGTTAAAACAATAAAGGCGATTTTAAATTAGTTACTAGAAATTATTGTGACCAAGTCAAGCGTGGGCAAGGTTCTTACGTTATTATACTGACGTTCTATTAATATGATTTAAAAATATTTGGTTTATATTGACACTAACTTGACAATGCGCATGACATTGTCAGATATCGTGAATTTTTGTTTGTGTATTAAATGGTTTGAAGTTAGGATTTGGTTTTGAATTTGTAGGGATAAAAATAGATATTTGTTTTGCGTACTGATCATGGATGAAGAGACAATTGGTGTTGTAGTTGCACTGGCCTCTGAAATTTTATTAAACCTTTTGCCATGTTCATCAGTAAATGTGCTATCTTAAAAGTAAGTTTTTGGCGAAAAAATAGCTATACTCGGACAAAATATTGGAGAAGGTGAGTCATATGCATGATCAACACTGTTGTCTATGAAAGAAAATTCCGACGGAGGCAGTATAGGCGGGCGGCGTATCAAATACCAAATAATTATTTATTATTTATTAGGTATTTGTTAGTAAACTTTATTAAATTTGTTTGTCAACATCTTTATTTAAACAAAGATGATGTGTTAAATATACGTTTTTGATAGCTTTCAAGAAATGAATATATTTATTCCCTAAGGAGTTCGTTATCTGTGTTTAATGATTTTAAAATGTGTTTCAAGTAAATAAACGACAGACGGGTTACAGATTGAATATTGTCAGCACAGGCACAAAGACAGTTGAAAACTAACTTTCGACGAAGTTAGATTTGTATCGCTTTAACTATTTACGATAATTATTTTATATTAACACTTTTTGTACAAGTGCTCTTTTCTAATATATGAGTAGGTGTTCATGTTTGTGCCTTACAATTTGGTAGTGGTAGTGCATATTCGAGGAGTTATATTTATTGTGTAATAGGTTTATTGTGCTGTTGAACCACGCAGGTGTTATAAGTGTTGGGGTTTACATCATTTAGCAAGCCAATGTACTAAAGCTGAACCAACCTGTCCTAAATGTTCTCTTAATCACGAGCTCAAAGACTGTAAATCTAATACCAATAAATGCATTAATTGTACTTATCTAGTAGCAAATCATAATATAAATACCTCTGTCAATCATGTAGCATGGGATAAAGATTGCCATTACTATAAACGAGCTCTGACAATGTTTAAAAATAAAATTGTACCGTTACCGTCACAGTAGCAACCATTGAAGGTTTCCGTATCTGGCTCTGATAATTGTTCACAAATTAGTCTTCAACTGTATTACCAAAATGTTAGAGGGTTAAGAACAAAAACAACTCGTCTATTTAACAATGTTTCTGCTGCTACACAGTATGCGGGCTACTTCTTTACAGAAAGTTGGTGTAACAGTACCATAAATAATGCTGAGCTATTTGATCTTGCAGTGTTTGATGTTTATAGGGTCGATCGAGATTACGAGTTAACACAAACTTCAAGGGGGGGAGGAGTTCTTTGTGCCCTTAAAAAAGAATTAAATGCAGTTCTGATTGATACGTCTGATGTTTGTAGCTCTATTCCAATAAACAAAATTGATTTTATTCTTGTAAAAATTAAACCTCACTATCAGTGTACCTTTATTTTACTCATATACATACCGCCAGCTTGTTCTGCTGATGACTATGAGGCTGTGTTCGAGGCTATATCATTACTTAATATTCTTTATGATAATCATCTTCTAGTACTAGGAGATTTCAATGTGCCAGAGTATATTTCTCAAATAAACAATTCTAGCTGCTCGCCTAGATTGAACGTTGTACAATCATTTGCGAATTTTTTTAACTTAAATCAATTCAATTTGATAGAAAATAAATATCATCGTCTGCTTGACTTAGTTTTTTCCAATTCAGCATGTCACGTATATAAAGCCGATGAAGTAGTCTTAGATGAAGATGAATATCACCCCTCTTTGTGTATTGATGTCCCCATTAAAATTAGAGTTAAGAGCTTACAGTGTAAACCAGACCACGTGCAGTATAATTACAATAAAGCAGATTTTCCAAAATTATACAACGCACTACTCAATATCAATTGGAGTTTTCTTGATTCTGCAAGCAGCGTTGATGAAAGTGTTCAACTTTTGAACAATAAATTGTATATTATTTTTAATAAGTATATACCTGCTAAAAAACCTAACCTTAGGACCTACCCTCCTTGGTTTAATGGTCGTATAATACACATGATTCGTGAAAAAGAAAAAGCCCGAAAAACCTACAAATCCGCTTATTCCATAGATGCATTTACTAAATTTAAGAACCTTCGAGACCAAATTAAACTAGACATTTCTATAGCTCACTCCTCATATTTAAGGTCAATTGAAAATAATATTAAAAATGATCCAAAACAATTTTGGTCATTCATAAATTCTAAAAATTCTTCCTATTCCATACCCACTACTGTTGAATATAATAATGACTGTATAGAAGATCCACAGGCAATTGTTCAAGCTTTTGCAGATCACTTTTCAAGCAATTTCTCCAAGCCAACTCAAATAAATCACTTCATCCACGAATCTACCATTAGTTTACCTCTGCTTCACTTTAATTCTGTATCTCAAGATGAAGTTATTAAAGCCCTAAAAAAGCTTAAGCCCAATATGTCAATGGGTACTGACCTTATTCCTTCGTTTCTTGTCAGAGACTGTGCACTAATTTTGGCCACTCCGTTGAAACATATTTTTGATTTAATTTTGAAAACATGTATTTTTCCTAATGCCTGGAAAATTTCCAGAATTACTCCGGTACATAAAAAAGGTAGCAAAAATAATGTTTGTAATTATCGGCCCATAAGCATTCTTTGCAATTTTGCTAAAGTATTCGAAATAATTACTCACGATCGTATTTCCAATCATGTTTCCCGTCTTATATCTTGTGATCAACATGGATTCATGAAAAATAGATCTACAGTTACAAACCTTGTATGTTCGACGCAATTTATTTCGGAAGCCTTGGATAGAAGAAGTCAAGTTGATGTAATATACACAGATTTCTCCAAGGCCTTCGACAAAATTGATCATTCCATCTTGCTCCACAAGTTAAGTTCCATTGGTTTATGCGATCAAATCATTCAATTGATTGGTTCGTATTTGTTGGGTAGGCATCAATATGTTCAATGTCGTGGTTATAGGTCAAAAAATTTCGAACAAACATCAGGAGTTCCACAGGGATCAATTTTAGGTCCTCTTTTATTTATAATTTTTATAAATGATATAGTCGCTAATATCGAGCATATTAAAGTTTTAATGTATGCCGACGACCTAAAATTATTGCTTGAAATCAATTCTGTTAACCATTGCTTGCGACTTCAAAAGTGTTTGTCCGACATTGCGAAGTGGTGTCTCGATAATTCACTCCCTCTAAATCCTGAGAAATGTTCCGTAATGTCGTTTACTAAAAAAGTAACACCTATAATTTTTGATTACAAACTACAGAACATTATTCTAAATCGACCCGAATGTATAAGAGATCTCGGAGTTTATTTTGATCCTGAACTATCTTTCGTTAAACACATTGAAACGATGTTATCTGCTGCTAACAAGAGCTTAGGGTTTGTTATTCGAAGCTGTAAAGAATTCCGAGACATAGTCACCTTAAAAACTTTATATATTAGCTTTGTACGGTCAAAACTTGAATACTGTTCTGTTGTTTGGAATCCCGTGCATAACATTTATACTGATTTACTCGAAAAAGTTCAAAGAAAATTCATGAAATCGGCTTCCTATGTTTTAGATGG